AGAACAATTAAGGTTCCAGCTTATCTCAATGATTATATAACGGATTAATGTATATTTATAAAATAAGGTAAAAGGGGAAGATGTAGTATAATTAATATAAATTATAAGTGGCTGTTTGATTATGTTTCCTTGGTGTGGAATAAGAAAAAAGGAAGATGGCACCGCCATTACAGAATTGTGAAGAATAGTGCTATGTGACTGATTTTGTAATCATTTTTAATCTTAAAGCTAAAGTGTGCATAAGTAAAGAAAGTAACAGAAAATTATTGTTTTATTCATAACATATTACATCCTATTTTATGTTAAAAGTGTGGCAAACAAGCGTATGGTCCCCCTGATGATCGTCGACAACCATAGAGAGCTACTTGTTCGTTGCCTACTCCAATTTGCTGCGATTTATCTCTGTATTCTGTGGAGCCCTGGAACCCTCATCGTCATCGTCATCGTCATCGTCATCGTCATCGTCATCGTCATCGTCATCGTCATCGTCATCTTCATCGTCATCGTCATCGTCATCGTCATCGTCATCGTCATCGTCATCGTCATCGTCATCGTCATCGTCATCGTCATCGTCATCGCCATCGTCATCGTCATCGTCATCGTCATCGTCATCGTCATCGTCATCGTCATCGTCATCGTCATCGTCATCGTCTTCGTCCTCGTCATGGTCATCGTCATCGTCATCGTCATCGTCATCGTCATCGTCATCGTCATCGTCATCGTCATCGTCATCGTAATCGTCAACGTCATCGTCATCGTCATCGTCATCGTCATCGTCATCGTCATCGTCATCTTCATCGTCATCGTCATCGTCATCGTCATCGTCATCGTCAGCCTATTAATGTCCCCACTGCTGGGGCCGATAAAAACACCACCAAAAGGTGTTGTTGAAAAAAATAGATGAATATCTTTAGAAGTGCGGTAGAATTACCGCAGGTCTTGTACGCTTGTAGAATAAAGTCCCTAGCAATATCCAAAAATTGAGCGTCAATAAATTTAAAGCAACTATTTAAAAAAAAACGCGGGGTTGCACTCCGGGAGTGCCGGTAGAAGTGAAAACTTGAATATTAACGTTGTGCATTTTTGATATTTTGGAATGGTTAGGGAATAATTTTACACGAATTGCTTTAATTATAATTATCAATATAAAAGTACTATCATTTATGTGGTAGAATACAATATTTATCTATTGCGCTATCGTACACAAACATGACAATTAATATTACATTAAAAGTTTATCTCAGAAAAATCAACTTACATGAATCACATTTAAGCGCACCTAGCGACATCTATTGTAAAACAAAAAGGAATTTTCTTCGCAATAAAGCTGCCACCTGGACGTTTTAGATAGAGACATTATTATAATACGATAAAATAAAATATTACTATTTTTCGTCCAATATATTGAAAGTCAACAACCTTTCCAATTTTATTGTTTTCGTCACTTTTTTTACAATTTCGATTAGGTCACGTGTCCTGACGCGATCAGGCCACGTGTCCTGACGCGAGTTTAACATTTTTTACCCATTACAAAAAAAGTGTACAACGCCGCTAAAGCAGTTTTCACTTCAAAAAGCTTATGAATAAAGCGTATTATAAGGTGTCTGATTATATTATATTTATGAGGCGGGTCGACACGGCATTCCTAAACTTGTTTTTATTTTTAAATCTGTTTTTTATATTTTTTATTTTATAGTCATAATTGTTTTATCATTGACATTTGTAATGGAAAGTGACTTCATGAGTTATCTCATATTGAAGTCATTTTTCAAATTGACGACTCTGTATATAATACAGGGAGAAAAAAACAGCCCTTGCTGAGTTTCTTGCCGGTTCTTCTCAGTACAAGGTCTCCCGCCGTAGATTTGCGAACCGATGGCGTAGCTTTTCGACATTCACAAGTGCTTGTAACAGCCTAGACTGAATAAACGATATTGAATATTGAATTTTTGAATTTTATTTCAGACAAAAGTGCTTGGGTTTTTACTGTTCCAAACGTTCCAATAGACCGTTTCTATAATTATGACTTGTAAATATTGTAACAAGATTTGACGCTGTGAATTTTTTCGCTCGTTTTTCATCAAAATAAAAAATGTCCTTAACGGGTGGAAGGAAAAAAAAAGTATGGACGATTCAAAAGAGTTATATTATGCGGCCTATTTGAATAAAGATATTTTGAAATTTGTTCGTTGTTTTTACTAGTTTGGAGCCGGCGCTAGGGATGAAACGATACGAGTAAATACAAGTAACTACTCGATACTTTTCTTTCGATACCAACTACTTTTGGCATCGATACTTTAGAACTCAGTAACAAGTAGTATCGTGAAGTAAGTACTTGTATCGGTACTCGGTCGGTCACTCACTGAAAGTATCAAAAAAAACTCATAAGCAGAAAATTTACTCAATGTTTTACGAATTATTGTTTCGCGAACGCTTCTTTTCTACTGCTCAGTTGGCAGCCTTGCGTATGATTTATATTTATTCCAATATATTCAGTCAGTCGTTCGTTCATCGCATTGCGACAGCCGTTATTTTGTTTTCGTTTAATAAAACTGTGACTGATTTTGTAATTGTAATATCGTTCGTCAATATTTATCGATACAAGTAAGTATCGATACTTTTCATTCGATACCGAGTAGGCATCGATACTTTATGACCGATACAGTATCGAGGAAAAGTATCGATACCTAGATGGTATCGTTTCATCCCTAGCCGGCGCATCCTATGTTTGTCTTCGTTCGCTCCGTTCATACGAGAGATATCAAACTATATTGAAAGAAAACACATCCACATACTGAGTCGCTTATTCAACCTCGTTTCCGAATACAAAGAAGATTTTACGGTTTTTATTTAGATCGTCCTGAAATTCTTGAGCGTTTATTAATGCCTCACGGAATCTCAAATCAGTGGTGATGAATATTCTTTTAAATAACTCGGCGATGAGCTCGACGTCTAGGGCGGCTAAAATCTCAATTGCACTACAAATAAGAGTTTTCTTTGATTTTCAAAATTTTGGTTAATATCAAATACTTGAATAATTCTCGTCGTCGATTTTGATAAGGTCTTTGAAATAGGACCATAAAAAAGGGAGTCCGCACGTGACGCATCAAAAGAGTTGATATCCATCCATACTTATTAATAACAAAAAGAAAAAGCAAAAGAATTTTAGTTTTTACAAAAATTATAAAAATATATTTTGAGTGTTGGGCTCGAATCTTTATTTGCTGCGATTTATCTCGGTGTCCACCAATGGGACTCTTAGTGTCGCCGCACACGGGCCACCGACCACAACCACAAAACGCCGCCACCGGCATATTTCTTGTAGTTTTCATACATTTTATATGGACTCGCCACACACGGTACGCCGGTGGTCGCCACACGCTACAAATCGTCGTTGCTCGCTTCTTGTGGCCCGTGCCGGTCACTTAATGCGCCGGTACAAAACGCACGTCACTCGTGCGAATCTCCACCCCTCTCTCCCTTACCTTAGTCGGCCGCTGTCGCGCGCTTAAGCCACTTTAGTAGCCTCTTCTAGCTTCTCGTGGCGGCGCGTTTGTGGCTGTGGCGTGTGGCCCATGTGCGGCGACACTTACAAATGCTTAGGTACTACAACTGCTCACGCTTGTAGATTTTTGCCATTTAACGTCACTCAACAGTTTAACGTCGCATCCACACTGTATATTTTCGAAGAAATACTTAACTTACAGAAAACTGCAGCTAAGTAACACAATTGTGTAGTTATTTCTTGCATTCAGTAAGATTACCAGAACATCACAGGGTAGGGTATCTTAGGTACATCTTCTGCCGCTTTAGTTCCCTTAGCATGAACCAATATCGGAGTCGAATAGTTGAATTTGATCTCTATACGCGTCAAATGCCAAGAAGTTTTGTATGGTAATTTGAACAGCGCCACAACGGACGTAAGGAGAATTAAAAATCTTTTTATATATTAAAAAAAATCTAAAAGCTTCTTGGCATTTTAAATTGAAATGTATTACTAACATAGATGAAGGAAAAATGTTACTAACAAAACAAAACTTTGGACACTTTAGTCTGATTTTTTTTTATTATTTTTTTATTATTAATTGACTCGAATTCAACTATTCGACATTGTTTCGTGCTTAGATACTCTAAGGTGGGCTGAAACTATTGCTTGTCTGAATTGGTTGATCTTTTATACTTCACAAAAGATGTAGCAACGTTGTAATCGAGGATGTGCGCTTAGAGAATAGTACCATAGTTTGGCGTCCGCAGCTTTCTACTGCCACAAAACGGACGCGACCTAATTTTTATAAATCAGCGAAGCCCCGTCCAATTAAACCGAAATAAAATAAAAATCTCAAACGACAAGAGGCCGTCACGGACGATTTGGAGGAAATGTACGTTTTTAAATTATAATGAATGTTACAAGTTTCTTGTTTGTTGTAAAAAATATATAGGCAGTGACTTATGATTTGTTGGAAAACAACGCAGCGAGGGCATAGTCGTGAGAAGAATGAAAACAGTTTATGTTTATTACGTAGGATAAAATGCTTTCACTTTATTAAATTAAAAGGCAAAGAAAACTTCCTCTTTTTTAGGGTAAAACAGGGCCATATTATTCAAATTTTAACACAATGTAGGCATTAAAGAATTTTTGAGTCTAAATATAAAAATGTCTATAATTAAGCCAATAGCTATAAATGCTTCCTGGTGTTTCTTTTAGCAGAAAATTCTATAATGTCGACTTTGAAAATAAATAGGACTTTTATACGTGCTTCTTGCATCCGACGGCATCGAAAGTGCAGCCGTCAACCGGCCAACGGTAGCCTTTGACCAGCCGTCAACCCGCCGACATCAGCCGTCGCCCAGCCGTCAACGTGGCAACGGCTATCGTCGAGCCGTTGACGGCTGACGGCTGCCGACGGCTGCTGTCGGCTGCAAGCCGCTCGTTTATATGAACTATTACACTTAATGCCACATCCACATCCATTTTTGAATAAAACAAACTTTTGTTACAGGTAACGTCGCGATATGAACAAGAAGTCTCAAAAGAAAAAGGTTAGTTTATCCCATGATATACAGCGGAAAAAAATATTTTTTTAATTATGATGGTCGCTTCGGGTCATCATAGCCTCCTATGACCCCATTCGTTTCGTCGTTATGAGCTGCCTTCAGTACCTAGCACGAACCAATATCGAATTCGTATCGTTTGAGAGTCCGAAATGTCATTGTCAAATGTGTACTGATTTTTAGTTCTCGTTACGTACTATGTGCCGCTGCTGTTCAAGTTTCCATACAAAATTTGACATTGACATTTCGGTTTGCAAACTATTCGAATTCGATAATGGTTTGTGCTAGGGGTACAGAACAATGTAGATGATGTAATACATAATTATATTACTGTTGTGGTTGTGTCATCACACCAGAAGGGCACCAGGATTCGTCGACCCCTTTATTGGGTGATTGGGTGTATGCTCTCATAAATCGGTCACTTGTCAGTATACATACTGTGTCACGCCGCGCATCGATCAATGATGGCCGGACGGGGGGACGGTGCCAACATCGCCACTGAAAGCCAAGCGTGCCAGAGACACCGGCCATACCTCGCCTGCTCAGGGGCAAATTGCACCCAACACAATGTGTGGGTTTAATTAAGAAGCAGTTGACTATAAAGTTGACTGGTTGATCGTTTGCATCATCATAATCATCAGCATGTTAATGGAAAAAAATCCACGCGGACCAGGTAGCGGACGGGATTCGAACCCGCACCCTTCGCAATCCGGGCGAATCAGGGCCGGATTTAGGATTGTGGAGGCAACGGGCCACTTAGGATTTGTATGCTTATTGACCCATCGAAATGTTGTTATTTCTTAAGCTGTTGTGTATGCCCCTGGGCCACAGCCCCACCTGCCCTGCTTTAAATTCGGCCCTGGGTAAAGGTAAAAGAGCAAAAAAAAAATATCAAAGGAAAAGATGTTTGCTAGTTGGAATTTGAAAGATTTTTTTTTCCGAAGTCTCTATTGTGGGGGCCCCCCGTTTATGGAGGCCCCGGGCCTCCCCTAAATCCGGCAGTGGGGCGAATGCACTGACCAATTATGCTACCACGGCCCTGATAGCCGCGTCGAAATTTTCCCAGCCTTAAGCTGCAAGACAGCGCCATCTCTTCGCATTGTAGGTAATCCACAATGTCAAATGAATACTTTTTCAAGTATTAAACATTTGAAAGAAGAAATAATATTATAGTTATGTTTTTTCAGGGCCCTGGTAGCATAATTGGTCAGTGCATTCGCCCGGATTGCGAAGGGTGCGGGTTCGAGTCCCGTTCGCTGCCTGGTCCGCGTGGAGTTTTTTCTAGTAAACTGTTCTTTAGATTTCAACATCTAGCAGTTAAATGCTTAAAAAAAACATAGCATTTTAATGTCGCTGCTGGGATACAGGCCTTTTGTATGAATCGAATAGGGAGAATTGGCCATGAACCACCATGACAGTCACAACAGGACTTGATGAAATTGACATTTGAATTAAAGTACTTTAAAATTAGTGAAGGTCATAAAGATTACAATTAGAGGAACCTTCCTAATCCAATTAAATCACTTCCGTAAGTAGTAACGACTGCAGAAGTGTAGATGCAGCCTGCATGGCTTAACGTGTCGTACGAAGGAGCTCAATGTAATCAAATTTGGTCACCAATCCTATGTCTGGCGCAATAGGGGTGATGACGGGGTACAGTAAACGAAATTCTATTTAGTCCGTCAGTTAGATGATCAAAAAATAATGGACACGTATTTTTTCTTTGGCCAATCAACCAAAAAATTATAAAGTTATAGCGCGTCAAAGCTTGGGAGTAGGGGCTCGTGACGTCACTTTTGAGTGAATTTTCACTTATAAGTGTACTCAAACGTGACGTCATGCGACTTTTGCAAACAATATATCTCTGCAATGTTTATAGTATGTAAAAAAAGAAAAAATACGTGTCCAATACTTTTTGATAATCTACCTGATAAACGAAGAAAAAAAAAAATGGTTGCCTGTAAAGTCGGTTTTACGGGCGAAGATTTTACGTGACAACGTCTTTTTCTCGGTAGAATATTTATTGATATGAATATAATTAAATTGCACAATAGGAACAAGGAATTGAATGAAAATAAGAATTGCACAAATTTTAACTATAGAAATATATTTTGTTTACTAAAACATTGTACATGTAAACTTAAACTTAACACGAGAGACTCATCGTAACGTTACCGAGCGTTACACTTTTTCATAAGTGACTCCCAGCCGCAACCTAATTTAAGACGTTGTCACGTCAAAAAATTAGTCATCATCCCTATTGCAAAATTTGCTTACTTCCACGAACGCAAACCGAACGCGCATATCCAACAACGAAAATGTTTTAATAATAACTAATATGTTACGTGCAATGACGAATAGGCACCAAATAAATACGTAATGATACTTACGCCCTTGAGATTATGAAGACATCAGCTTCAGAAGCTATTTTGAGTTGGCAGCTTCTCACGATGCAACCACTGCATCGAATCGAGAATATGCAAATTTTCTTCAAAAAGTACAGATGCATCTTGCCAGATGACGCAATGTAGGCTAAAATTAGTCAGTCCAAAAACTGCACTAGGATCGTACAAGGCCTGGCTTCGTTGCTGTTTGTAAATAGTTCAAAGTCAAAATAGTTGCAAATCTATATTGCATAAGCAATATCAGTAAAATTATAACTAATGTTGTCTACTTAAACGAAACGGGTAGAGATAACGATATAGGGTGTTTTCGCCTTTAAGAAACGGAAGAGCTCTGTGTGACAGCGAAATAATAAGGATACATGAGAACTTAAACGACTTCTAGGGCTTTTTTCACAGCTATAAAAACCATAATACGTGGTAAAAGCAATATTTGGACCATAGATTTGGACGATTCAAATAATAATATTAATAATGTTTATTCATCAAATCTTACAACTACTACTACAATGGTGTCGATTCTAGCACGATTCTCTAAACCTAAACTTAAATTTGACAGCAGTATATCCCTGTCATTCTCTATACAGAATGAAAAGGAGATACTGATGTTAAATTTAGTTTTAAGTTTAGAGAATCACGCCAGAATTGACACCAGTATCATCTTAAAATAAACTAGGAATGGTTTGCTATTTTATAGTCTTATAAGTAGGACTCCTGACTTTCATGCTAAATAAAACCTGTGTTATGAAAGGCAGTGGTTCGATTCGAGACACCGGATGATTACAAAAACGTTATTGATTAATGTGTGTGCGTGTGTATGTGTTTGTGTGTATTTGTGAGATAATGTGTAATGTGTGTTGTAATAATTTCATCTATATTTTAAGGCTATAGCAGTACTGATAGGGTAACGGATCGTTACCGAGAGTACTATCAGCGGATAAAGCAGTTGCTGCGGCAATTGGAGAATGGGGAGGGATGAAGTGCCATTCTGTACCATTAGAAGCCATCCAATCCACTATTTCTGAGGTATAACTAGATCTTTCCGCGCTAAAAAGTTCTCTCAGTTCTCTTGCACTGCCCACAAAGGTAGTGCCATTATCACTCCATAGGTTGGCGACATGACCTCGCCGTGCAACAAAACGCTTAAAGGCTGCTAGAAAGCTTTGGGATGTCATATCGCTTACTACTTCAAGGTGTATTGCTTTTGTAGCCATACAGACAAATAAACATATGTAACCTTTCGTGGAGTGGTGACCACGTCCCTTTGTGGTCCTGACACTGATTGGACCGGCGTAGTCCACACCACTACTAAGGAAAGGTCTACTTGCAGTTACCCTCGCTACAGGTAACTGTCCCATAAGTTGCTGTCTTGTTTCTGCTCTTTGACGAATACAAGCAACACACTCATGAACAAACTTACGAACTAGATCCTTTGCACCTATAATCCAATATTTGCTCCTCAAGTAGTTCAACATTGCTTGAGGCCCACCGTGCATTGTTTTATCGTGTGCTTCTTTGACTATCAAATTTGTCAAATGTGACTTATGGGGAAGAATTATAGGGTGTTTTGCATCTTCGCTGAGCTGAGCCTTCTGAATCCTTCCACCAACCCTAAGGATCTGGTTTGTGTCTAAAAATGGACACAAAGAAGTGAGTTTACTTTTTTTAGGTAAGTTTCCTGACTTCTCCAAATTAAGAATGTCTTCAGTAAAGTGCTGATTCTGACATATTTTAATACAGGTAAGTAAAGTTTCATCTAGTTCTTTAACCGTTAACCATGCATTAATTTTATTTGTGTTCTCTGTTTCAGGTTTCTTCCACAGTAGAACTCTTCGACAGAATGATAAAACTCGAGTAAGTTTCCGCAAAGATGAAAATCGAGTCATTATGTTCTCATTTTCATCAGTAACTATTGTTGTGTTACTACTAATTCCACATTTCTTCTCTTCTAGATCAGTTGTATGTATTTCTTCTTTATTGAAATTAATTTCTTTCAGGTAAAGCCATTTCGGTCCGTGGTACCAAAGAATATTTTGGACGCATTCTGAAGGCTGCGTTCCTCGTGAGGCTGGATCCGCTGGATTTTCTTTAGTATCAACGTGTGACCATTGATCCCCATCCAAGATACTAAGTATCTCCGAAACTCTATTTGCAATGAATGTTTTCCACCGGCTGGGGTGGCTCCTAAGCCAGGCTGAAACAATTGATGAGTCGGTCCAAGCATGCCACCGTTCCCTTGGGACATTTAGAATTTCACCTACCTCTTTCAAAAGTTTGGCGAGAAGCAGTGCACCACATAATTCCAGACGTGGAATTGATACCTGTTTAATGGGAGCTACCCTGGATTTGGATGTAATTAGATGGATATGAACCTTGCCTTCTCTATCAACTATACGTGCGTAAACAACCGCTGCGTAGGCTATGCTTGAGGCGTCTGAGAAGCCATGCAACTCAAAAACTCCATCATCTTTGCTCAAATGGATCCATCGTGGAACACGTATTTCGGAAAGTTTATTTAGCTCGCTTCGAAATCGGACCCAATCCTTAAGTAAAGAAGGAGGAAGTTCGGTGTCCCAATCTATACCA